TACCTCTATAACTAGCCAAGTGATAAGAATACACCTAAATTCTTAGAGTATAGGCCTTTACAGACAGGCCTGAATATCTATATCCTAACAAGGGGGCTCAAGGCAGGGGGTTAGGGGACTCAGGGTTGGGGTGTGGGGTGCTGGCTGCAGCCTGGCGTCGCTTACCTCAAGTGGCAGCGGCGTGCAGCAGGCCTAAGGCAGGCTCTCTGCCTGGCCTGGCCCCATGCCGCTCCCGGAAGTGGCCAGCATGTCTGGCAGTGGCTCCTGGGGGTGAGGTGGGGTGGGGCCAGCACCTCCGCCTCGCGCTGCCCTTGCCTGAGGGTACCACCCCCAAAGCTCCCATTGGCCATGGTTCCCCATTCCCGGCCAGTAGGAGCTGCAGGGGGGCGGTGCCTGCAGGCGAGGGCAGTACATGGAGCCCTCTGCCCTCCCCCTTCCTAAGGGGCCGCAGGGGCATGGTTTGCCCTCCCCTGTCCTAAAGAGATATCTCCCTATTAAGCACATGGGTTATACTGTGTGACCACATGACCTTACCACTGTGACCCTCTTCCTCCCGCCCATATACTTTCTCCAACTCTTCATTTAAAGCCACTTATCATTAGTTGTCTACAGTTTAGATGGAGCATCTTCAGAGTCTAGCACAATGGGGCCTCGTTCTGATTGGGTCATTAGGCATTGCCATAATACAAATAATAATTATGAGATGTAAATATGTCTCTGTGTGTACATTACAGCAAATGGAAACCAAAAGGTAATTAATTAACATTCCCAGCATTCAGGTTATTTTCTTTAGGATCAGTATTTGAGGAACTCTGAAACATGATAGCCCTTATAATCATTTTAATCTTGTTCTGTGATCTCAGAATTCATGAAATTGCAATATAAATTGGCAGATAAAATACAGTATTTATAAAGAATCTGCTTTCATGTGCCAGTTGCTATCTGTTTTGTTTATATTACATAATGCTCCACTGTTCCATGGAATGTTAAATTGCTTTGCTGGAAATTTCACTTTAAACAACATATAAGGTTATAATTCCATGAATTCTACGTTGGCCTATTAAAATAATTTTAACTGAAGTCTGTAAAAGTTACAGGGCTAAATCCTCAACTGGTGTAAGTCACTGGAGCCACAGAGATTTATATCAACAGGGGGTCTGGCCCACAATTTGTATCGTAATGTAAATTAATCACCCTGTTTTATTAAACTATAAACTACATAAAGCAATGGGGCAATTCACATAGAATCATGGACACTAGAGATAATAAAAAGCTATTATGTCATCAAGTACATCTTCCTGGTAGCACAAGATTACGTAGTCTGTATTATACATTTACTAACGATCTGTCCAGTCTAATTTTAAATATCTACTCACAACATGTTATATATATGAAAGCTCAAAGACTCCCAGCAACTTTATAAAATAAAGCAATTTAAAAGAGCATTCATTCTATTTAAAAACAGACAAATTCAAACTTGTGCTAAGTCTAATGTTTCAGCGTGAGAACTCAGCTTCTGGAGACCTATGTGATTGGTGATCATTGAAGACAAAACTACTGGCGAGCTTTCCTGACTTCTGGAGGCTCCGCTTAACTAGTTTTAGCCAGCCAGCCAGCCTCCAGAATTGTAATTTTTAATTATTTGCAAGGATTCTTTAGGAAAAACCATGCCCTTGCTCTTAGGAGCCATATTGGGGTATGGGGAGAAGAGGATGGCATCTGTGCATAGAGGGACCAGTCTTTAGGCAGGAGTAGCTGGGAGGGGAGTCCTGTCTCCACGGAGTAGCCTCTGCCAACCCTTACATGACCTCCTTGCAGCATATCCTTGTAGCATGCATCCTTGTATCCATGACCTTGTAGCAGCATATCCTCCAGCCCTTCCCACTCCTCTGTCCTGCCTCCTGATGTTCAGGCAGCCTTCACAGAGATGGAAGAAGAGCTCTATGAGGAACGAGGGAGTTGCTCCATCCATGCTCCCACACACACTTCCCCCCACCAGCCCCGAGTGTCCATTGCCACCAACCCTTTTGCAGGGGAATCAGGTCTGCTTCCATGTGTCCCTCTACAACATGAAGAAGGGGGGTTGGATTTGCCCTGTAATGTCCAGCAGTATCCTATGACTAACATACATAGCTACCTCTCACCTTATCACCTTAAAACAAGGATCATAACCTACCAGTAAATCCTTTGGGCTCATTTCTGCACCCAGGTACATAGATGCTACTCCCATCAAACCCCACAGGAACTGCACCTGTGTAACTGAGGCAGAATTAAGCCTGTTAATTATATTATGCTAATTATCACTGCAAACTCTCTCAGCCTATCGGACCCCAAGACAGTACCCTGTTTGCTTTGCTCTTGGGCAATAGCTATACTTGAAAGGACCCCCAGGTGGTTGGCCTGGGGATGCCCCCCCCCATGCCACTTTGGCTGTCAAGGGCCAGTATGAAGTCTCAAGCTTCATTAAGTTTTGGAAGTTTCCCCGCAGGGCTTCTCAGGGGGTGAATTGTGCCCCCTCTCTGGTCTCTCCTCCTGCCTCCACTTTGTTCCTGAGATACACAGTTGATCCTCTGTAAATTCCAGGACTGGGACAGATGGTACCATGCAAAAAGCTGATTCTGTCTTTTGCACAGGGATAGCCATGCATAAAGTGCAGATTTCAATTTAGAACTCAAATACGTATTTCAATATTTCCCATGCTGGGAAACAGCCTGGGAGTCAGGAAACCTGTATTCGATTCCTGGCTTCACCCCTACCTTCTGTGTGATTTTGGCAAGTTGCTACACTTATTATCTGATGTGCAGAAGTACCTAGGGGACATAATTATGGACTAGGCCCCCTCTGAGCTAGGTGCTGTGAAACTACATAACAAAAAGACAATCCCTGACCCAAGGAGCTTGCATCATCTCTGTGTCTCTGTCTCCCCTTCTCCCTCCGCCAGTGTGACCTATTTAGAATGCACTTTCTTCAGGGAAAAGATGGTCTTTCATTATGTGTCTGCTTTAAAGTGCTGAGTATCTTAGTTTTTAATTACAAACAAGTAGTGGGGCATAGGCATTGCTCCATTATGCAATTGCAATCCAAACGCCCTTGCAGAAACTTATATGCCAAATTTATACTCAGAAAGAATTTTTGTCTTGTATTTATAGCCCCTAGAAAACAGTTTGTAATATGCTGGACCTTAGCTATAATGAAGCTATAATAAGTGTCTCTGAAATGGTACTAAATGTAAAAGCAGCTAATCTCAATGGAAAAAAATCAGAAAGTAGATACCAACTAAACCATGGAAAAATAAATACATATTTGACAACCTTCAAACTGTGCCTCCTAGTTCTCAGAATTATATAAAGCAGGAATCGGCAACCTTTGGCATGTGGCCCATCAGGAAAATCTGCTGGCAGGCTGGGACAGTTTATTCACCTGCAGTGTCTGCAGGTTCGGCCAATCACAGCTCCCACTGGCCACGGTTCGCTATTCCAGGCCTGGGGGCTGCAGAAAGTGGCGTGGGCTGAGGGATGAACATATCACAATACAGAGAGCCTCTCACCATCTTTTTTCAGGTAATTAATGGATATATCCTGGGAAAACAATAGACAGAGAGAAACTGTGATCTTGTGGATTAAGCAAAGGACTGGGAAGCTGGAGTCTATTTCTAGCTCTACCTCTTTCCTGTATAACCTTGGGCAAATGAACTAAACTCTTATTCGCCTTCATTTCCCTCTCAGTAACATGGGGCTAATGATGCTTCTGTGTTACGAGATTTATTTCATTAATGTCTATAAAGCACTCTGAGATTCTGAGATGCAAAGGGCTCTTGAAGTGCTAAGCATTATTTTGATTGATTGAATTATTATATTACAGTCTTCAATTGATAAGTCTTTAAAAGCCACAAGCCTTGTGGCATTTGATAAACCAACAGGGAAAATTGATTTGCTGAGTTCAAATGTCTATCTGTGCCAACCATCTCAATAAGCAATATCAAGTAATGCACAGGTCTTATCTAAAATCCCCAAGGTCTAAGGGGATCACTGACACATCTCTGTGATGGTGGTATTAGTTTAGCAGCTGACAGTTTGAAATACAAGTGTTAGGACTGCCCTGGAGTACAGATCTTCTGGGAGATAGTATGATTGAAGATCTTCAGCTCCTAGGCTGCTTTCTACAAATTAATAGCTATTGTTTTACCTAGGGTAGTTAGCAGTAACACATCAAGAAAAGCCAATCTACTGATGAAATTTCTTTTGACAGCTGCCAGACATGTTATAGTAGCCAGAGGCATGGCCACTCTGGCCCCATTTTGGGTGGTAGGTACTATAACATATGGGATATGTCGGTCATGGAAACGCGTGCATAAAGTATGTTTAAATGCCCATGATTTTACAATTTGCCTACCTCTTCTCAACCACACCAACTAAAATACTTAGGGGTCAAATGGCCACTCTTATCATTCTTTGTACCTTATTAACTCGTATTATATTGAAGTTTCTTCTCTCAATATGAATTATCCAGCTAGATTTAGCAACATGGGTAAGGGTGGAGGTGGCAGAATGAGCTCTTTTAATTGATTTCCCAAGCTCTGCAATTTCCTAGTCTAGATCAGTCCATCTCTCACCAGTACAACTTCATCTAGCCTTCTGCCATGTCCCAAAGATGGGAGATAACAGGCTCCTGGCTGATATCAGTGCCAGATATATTAGATCAAACCAGTGGATAAGGTGGAGGGTAAGATCTTTCTCTCCCCCCATTACTGCTGTGACCTGAAGCACAACCTCAATGTAAATACACACACACACTCTCTCTCTCTCTATTGTATGTAAGGCCTCTTTGAATGAAGTTCATGGGGGCCATTCTTTATTTTCCATGATCATGGTTTGATTTGAGGGAAGTAGCAGGAGGGGATCGGAAGATTCTAATCTGATGGGCCCCTCTCTCATACCTGCCTGAAGAAGTATGGATGTGGTTTATTTTTAATGATACACATTTATCTCACCTTTTCTTAGATTATGATGTTGAAAATGATCTTCAGTCACACATCGGTTGAACACTGCAAGCCATCTGACAACACAGTTCAAAGCATAGAACTGCAGAAAGAATGTAATTTCTTCTTGACGGCTATCCGCTTGGCCTCACTAAACCAGATCTTGGACCCCTGGGTTTATCTGCTATTAAGAAAAATTCTCCTCCGAAAGTTTTGTCAGGTAGCAAATGCTATCTCCAGTTGTTCTAATAATGGATGGAAAGGGCGACCTATCACATTAACAGATGAAATCAGACAAACAGCAGCATGAAAGAATATTGATACACCTTGCATACAAACTACTTTTGACAAGTAGTCTTAAGCCTTACTGTGAATTTGGGCATCTGTGGCATGCCGGTCTCCACATAACTAACTGCAGCATAGTAGTACTTTTGAATGGACTTAGACTGCCAGATAATTACGTATCCGGTGTGCCAGCAATACATAAATATAAACAAAGGAATATGGTCTATTATTAACAGTTACCTAAAATTCTGGTCTCTTTTTGATCCACAGCTAAAACCATTCAAGCTAAAGAATATGACTTTTTTTCTGCTGTATACATCATGTTTTCTGGGGATTTTTCTTTCTTTGAAGGAGAAGAATCAATAATTTTTATGTCAGGTAACATTTGAGGCACAGATTCAACAGCTTAAGTTATTAAAGAGACTCATTCCTGTACTTAATTTTGACTCTTAAGATTATTGGCTAGATCCAGATATTATTCCTACCTCCTTTTCTGGGGAAAATGCAAGAGACTTGAGGGGAAAAATAATAGGAGTCCTTCCCTGTCTTTAGATTTCAATGATTTGTTAGAAGAATTGCCAATGCCTTTGTGTAGAATAATGGTGTTCTCTTTCAAGTGCTGAAAGGTAGCAGGAGTCTTATGTGCTACATGGGCTTACCATGGTAATTACTGATTTTTAGTGACTGCAAGAATAAACTCACCTGCTGCAAAGGAGAGGGGGCTTTGGGGAACAGCAGAAATGAACAATCTGCTTTAAAAAAGAAAACAAAAAGAAGATAAACTTAGCACTTTTTTTTTTACAAGTAATACCTGTGAAACACCCAGCAAAGCACTCATCACTATCGTGATGTAGTCTACCTTAACTATTGACAGTAGATGCTCCTTTCACATAGCAAAAAACTCACCCAACGCCTTCAAAGAGCAGCTTTATTTGTGAAGGTCATGATTCTGGGAACAGAAAGACCTTTCAGCTACCCTCTGATGATGGGCGCACCACATACACAGCACCACTTATTTACTTAAGCTCCCAAAGGGTGGGTCACTCACAATATGAAATGTCAGCCAAGAAACAGTAGATTTTTCCTAAAATACAGCTTTCAGAAACATGACAGCCTTGGAATTTTTTCTTTTTTTAAATCAAGCCCCATTGTCAGATTTCAGCTGGAGGATCTCATTAGTCAGATCTTTCCTGGAATAATTTTCAGGGTGGATTATAAGGACTCACGTTTCTGCTGAATCGTTTGACCATCTTTTACTAACTCCCCTTTTTTCCTCCAGTTTTTCATGGGCCCATAACCTCTAACCTGTCCCATTTAATGGCCTCCTTGCTGGATTAGATCTCTATGAAATTGTTTGCAAGAATATACATGCCAGATTCTGGTCTGTTACACCTAAATGCAAGCTTGCTGAGATTAGTGGAGATACATTTTCTTATGCCATATCTAAATTCAGCCATGGAATTTCTATCTGAGTTAAAGGAGGTTTGTACATGGGATTGTACAATAACTGTATTCATATGTTAGAGTATGAAAAACCATTGGGCAGATAAGGCCTTTAAAATGGCATAATTTTACTTAACAGCAGTGCGTAATTGACTGGAAAAATTAGCTCTCAAGTTCAAACATATTTTTTGATATCACACTAGTCTGTCGTTTGGTAATGGGCAATATTAGAAATGTCCTACTGTAAATACTCTTGTAGATAAGGATAACATTCATGACAATCTTCCCGTGTCTGTAGGTACACATTGAAATAGCATGAAATATGAAAATCCGAGGTGGCAGCCAGAAAGCATTTGGCTAATCACTTTTCATGCCCTTGTGTCTAATCTTCACCATCATGATAGACAAGAAAGAAAAGTAACTGGAGTTAGACTGGTAGTTACTATTGTATATCAAAGCCTCAGAGGTGATTACTTTTAATGTGACATCAGGACTCTGACATCTCAATGATAATTCAAGAAATAGTGTAAATTACACTCAGGTACTTTGACATTTTGTAATCCACTGGTTTTACTTTAAATGTACTTGCCTTCTTGTTCAGTTTCACAGTGACACAAAATAAACATGCTTATTCAGCTCATGTCTGACTGAATAAGGAAGAAATCAAGGACTGCATCCAAAACCCATTGAAGCCAATGGCCTTTGGATCAGTCACTAAGGGTAGATCTACACTGCAAAAAAGAGATACGATATTAACTCGGGTTAAACTAGCAGTCAACACAAGGCAACTCATCTTTTAACTCGGGTTAGCAGGTCAAGTGAAGGCCTATAGGGGAGCTTAGGGGACTGCTCTACCCGCTGGGCTATTGGGTATAATGTGGGCACCACAGCCTTTTCCTCTACCTTCTGCAAAAAAAATATTTTTTTTGCAAGAAAGGGCTGAGCTGATTTGGGTGCCTAACTCCAGGAGAGGAGTTCATGGCTTGAGCCCTGTGTGGAGGAAGGCATCTCTCTCTGGCCAGTGCTTAAATCCCTTTGAAGGGTGGGATTTAGGCCACACCCCTGTCCTCAGCATTTCCTGTTGGCTTGTTGCTAATCAGGGTACTGGCTTCTGAGAATCCCTTTTAGGCACGTTACTCTCTCCCTGCATTGTGCTTAACGTGGGTTTGTGAATTGCACGAGGCAGCGGGGCACCAAAAAGTTTGGTGTGGTAACACTCAGCATTACAATGCCATGGCCTCCTTCTGAATCTAATGCTAAGGTCTGATCCACTTCCTATTGAAATCAATGGGAAATTTGCCATTAGCTTGGAAACAGGACACTGAGACTCCTAAAAGTAATGTTTCTTCTACATAGTGTAGTGGTAGGAGAGAGGATAATGACTTTATGATAATAAAGCAAGATGTAAACCCAATTTAAGGAGCATATTGCTTGCGTCAGTGGAAAACAAACCAGTCAGCCTGCAAGGACACCAGAGAGAAATAATCACAACAAATGGATTCCCACTTTGAATGTAAAAGGTAGGAGAGCAGCAGTCTGTAAATAAGATTTTGATTAGCCTGCGTTCATGGTAATCAGTCTTAATAGTTTGGCTCTAAGCTAAAATGTGAAGTCACCTAGAATTTAATAATGTCTTTTGCTGTTTTTGTTTTGTAATTTTTGCCCTGAATTAATGTGCCTGTTTTAAACTTGTTTTTTTTTTATTAAGTGTAGACTTGGTTAATGGTAGAGTTGTTTCTTTGTGTTCATCTTGTACTTTAAAGAGTTACATTAGAGCTGGGCCAAACAGGTTTAGACAGGTTCTAGTTCCTTTGAGGTTTAGGTACCTGACCAGGAGGTTAATTCAAACTACTTTCCACACTTATAACTTCCCTTGAAATGAATGGTAATAACAACTGAGGCTAGTGAAAGAAAGGGAAATGCCTTGCTAACATTTAAAAAGGCTTTCAGCTATTAAAATATCATTTAGAAAAACTCCTGTATAGTTCCTAAATCCTCATCACATACACCTGTAGGAAGTGCAACTCCATCAAATGTTTTGTGGCCTTCTGTGGCTCACTGTGATTTTCTTGTTTTCATTCATAGTCTCTTAGGAACAGCTGTTCACCAACTGATGTATCTCTAAAGCTAGATAGCTACTCAGAAAAATAAAACAACTCCTGAATATGTAACAGATGTGCAAAACCCATCCAATAAGACTAATTAACCCAAGATCTATGATGTTCCCCGGTAACAGGGCAGAAGACACATCTAACAGCAGTCTAAGTGAGGAAGGCAGCATGTTGTGATATCAAAAGAATTTTTTTTTCCAGTTAGCAAGTCTCCCTTCTGGTTTGCATGCTTTTTGTCTGGGTATTTCTATCTTAGCCCATTTCTGTGATGTCCCTCTTGCAAAAGTTATGTGTTATATTCATATTAATGTGCCTATCATTAAAAAGAAGGCTGATTCAGGTATAGTTATATAAATAGATCATTTATAAATGAAAGCTGCTCTTAGGACACTACTTAGACTAATGTGATCCAATAAGAGCACTATCTTAATAATTTAGTGTCATACCTAAGGCGGAACCAAGGACACACCTTTTAAAAGCAGATCCATTATTCTTCAAGGCATATTAGGATAGTCAGTTATGCACATCCATACAATATGTCTGAGAAGACATAGAGTTTAATTCTGCTTGGACATGCACAGCTCAGTAGGTTTGCACTGGTGCAAAAATGGAGTGGAATTTAGCTGATATTCTGAAAATCGGAAACATACCCTTCAACTACAATAGGTTTACACCAATGTAACTGAGATCAGAATTTGGCATTCAGTGCCTTCTAGGTAATGGAATAGAATACAATAAACTAGAACTACAATGTCCTGGCCAACATTTTCAATCTGAAAAAAACCAGCTCTACTGTCTAACAAGGAGATAATGTTGAGTAAAATGACCACATGTACCTACACAGCATCTGTCCTACTAGTGTCGAGCTCATTAATGGTAAGTGCTTTGGGAAATACTGAGTGAGAAAGATGCTGTATGAAACCAAATTATCCCTTACTCTCTTTGAAAAAGTGCCATGTGCCATTTCGTGCCAAAAGAATGGTATGTTAAAAGCCTGTTTTTCTGTTCAAGAGTTTAGCCTCATTCAGTTTATGCACATTAGCCATTTTTCAGAAATCTGTCCCTTGTAAAGTGGGTCAGAGTGACCTTAATTATTTGAGTGAATTGTGCTCTGCTGGACTTTTCTGTCAATAGCTGAACAGCAGCCTGGTACAATAGGATTCAATTTTCTCTAGTATAGTGTAGCAAGCGTACAAAAAGTCTATGAAATTGAGTAATTTTTGTCCAAATATCACCACTTCTACTGTAGGGGCCACTGGGAAAACAGTTTTTCATATAGACTAATAATGAGATATGCAATGGCAATATGCGAACTGCTGAAATGTAAAGATAGTTTAAACTAATTGTTGAAGGGAACCAGATATGGGCATTATAATGCTCAGAATAATCTTATCCGTCTTGAACTCCTGTTATTAAAACAGTTCCTTTATTTTTTTTAATTTAGAGAAAAGGGGATCATATCCCCTTGGGTGCAGTAATATGAAGACCATTTTATAAAACAAGAAAGTGGGATAGATTATTTACATCTTATTTGTTTATAGCAAAAGAATTTAAGCACTATTTGCCAGGCATGGCGATATGACATGACTGGCAACTGAAGCACTTTCTTAAATGAATTCAAAGATCTTTATCAGAAATGTAAGGATTTGTTTTGTTTTCCCATTTATCTGGTTTTGTGAGAAGGATATTTTTGCTGTACATTTTTGCAGATGCCTTCTATATTATTCTAAAGTATGTAAATTTCACTACAGTAGTATTTCAAAGATCCATTTTGATAAAATGATGTACTTCTGTCAGAGACATTGTAGAAACTGTGGTGTCTGGTGGAATTCTTTGCTATAATTTTGTTGGCATTCAAAACACAGGCTGTTGGTGTATTGAACGTGCATGTGTTATATTTGTCAATGCAAAATAAACATTTAAAAGTTCAGTAGAACAACTGGTCTTTATTTCTTGATGCCAGCTTTTGCCTGCAACGTTTTGCTACAACAATTTCAAGTAACCTTCTGTAACTGGCTTCAATGTGAGCACTATTTGCTGGTAAACATCTTGAGCCAAATTCTGTGCTGACTTCATTAGGACTGACGGCAGAGGGTCTAAGTACAGAATCTGGCCTTTTTTGTGGGCCGGATTCTGCCATCCTTATGCACACCAAGTAGTACTTCATGCCCACTGAAATCAGTGTCACCGTTTGCAGAATAAGGTAGTACTATATGTGAGTAAGGGTGGCAGAATCTAGCACTCTATCACCAGGTTAGCAGCACATTTGTATATCTTGATAAAACAAGATACCTGATTTATAGCATTTGTGTTTGCTGTTGTACATAACTGTCTGGGTTGTTCACCTTACCACTTTTGCAAATCACAGTAGCATATTTAGACAGCTATGGTGACATTGATAATTGCATGCAGAACAGCTCATCATGTATTTTTATTAGCAGTGCCGAAGAGGCTTTCACCCTGCTGTGGGCTAAGAACAGCTGATGATATTGATATGACTCTGCGCCTGCACTTCCTTGTTAAAGGTAAGAGGAGCACCAACAGATCGGACTCTATAGCCCACAGATTCTGAGTAACGGATGAATAGTGTATCTAAGACACCCATTTGGACAGAAGAGCAATCTTTGAACTTTGGGATGAACAATTTGAGCAGCTGGGAAAAAAAAATTCCCTTTCTGTCTCACATAAAGCGTTCCCTGTCTTCTCAGTGTCAGGTAGGAGTTTCCAAAGGGTAGAAATTGGGCAAGAATCCCAGATGGACATGTCTGAGCAGCTGTCTGCCTTCAGATCTTACACCCCTCGATTAATGCTAGTATGACTGGATATGTGGAGGGCTCTACCAAATTCATGGCTGTGAAAAACATGTCCCGGATCGTGAAATCTGGTCTTTTGTGTACTTTTCCCCTATACTGTACAGATTTCACAGGGGAGACCAACATTTCTAAAACTCGGGGTCCCGACCAAAAAGGAGGATGTGGGGGGGGGGGCACAAGGTTATTGTAGGGCGGTTGCGGTATTGCCACGCTTACTTCTGCACGGCCTTCAGAGTTGGGTGACTGAAGAGCAGTGGCTGCTGGCCAACACATCCAACTCTGCAGGCAGCAGGGCAGAAGCAAGGGGGCCATACCATACCAGGCCATCCTTCCTTCTGCACTGCTGCTGGTGGCAGCACTGCCTTCAGAGTTGGGCTCCCAGCCAGCAGCGGCTGGTCTCGGGCTGCCCAGCTCTGAAGACAGTGCAGAAGTAAGGGTGGCAATACCGTGACCCCCCTACAATAAACTTCGTGACCCCCCAACCCTCTTTTGGGTCAGGACCCCTATAGTTACACCCTGTGAAATTTCCGATTTGAATAGCTGCACTCATGAAATTTACGATTTTTACAATCCAATGACCATGAAATTGACCAAAATGGACTGAATTTTGTAAAGCCCAAGATATGTGCCATTCCTCATCTTCCGCAACTATCAAGCAAGAGAGGGACCAAACCACTATGTGATATTTTGGGGGTGGGTATCTCAGTCTCTCCTGTTGAAGCTCTTCTACTTTGTATAAATACTTAACTTGGCATTGGAGGAGGGACTGAAACTTAGGTCTGCCATCTCCCAGGTGAGTGCCCTAATCACTGGGCTACAGAGTCATTCTCACTCTCTTTGGCCCAGCCCTATTCAGATGCAGGAAGAGGGCCCAAGGAGCCACCCTTCCTGCTCATACTCCCATGCAAGGGTTGGGCACAAGTGCAGTCCTTGTGCACCATTTTTCTGAGGGGCAGTAGTAAGCAGGTGCAGAGCTCGGACAGTGGAGCAGAGCTGGCTGGTTACAGGAGGAAGATGCAAGAGCAGCTATGCTGTTCCTGTCCTCTGTGCCTGTCTGAGTCATGATGCCCTCAGAGCTCTCACAGTGGTGCAATGCCCATCATTCAGGATTGTGCTTTGAGGGGGATTTCTCCTTGGTACAGAAGACCAGCCTAAGGCTGATGCACCAATTCCATTAAGAGCTGGTTGGACATTGGAATTTCATTTCAGGGACTTCTTGATATTTTGATTTTTGTTTTTGTTTCAGATTGGAATGGAATGCTGGGACCAGACAACGGGATGGGTCACTAGATAATTGCCCTATTCTGTCCATTCCCTCTGAAGCATTGGCCACTTTTGGAAGACAGGGCTAGATGGACAATTGATCTGAAGCAGTATAGCCGTTCTTATGTCAACACATATTTTTCAGAGTTTCCTGTGAAATGGAAATGGCAAAAAATTTTCATTTCAGAAATGTTTCTTCTGGGAATTTTGAATGTCATGTTAATTATTTTTAAATGAGTTCATGATTATGCACTGTAATATGACTTAAAATAGTTGAAGTGTTCTATTATTTTATTTTTAAAATCATTAAGGGCAGCTGCTATTTAATCCTGATTGAAACATCTTTCCAGCTCAAAGTGTCTCCGGTTTGTGTTGTAATAAACCAGTTTGACACTTGTCAGTGAAAAACCGTTTCAATAAAAATTTTCTGACTAGCTCTATTTAAATTCTGTGTAAGCCTTACTTTGAAGGTGAAAAGGAGTACTTGTGACACCTTAGAGACTAACAAATTTATTTGAGCATAAGCTACAGCTCACTTCATCAGATGCATTCAGTGGAAAATACAATGGTGAGCTATTACCAGCAGGAGAGCGGGGGGGAGGGGGTAAGGGAACTTTTGTAGTGATAATCAAGGTGGGCCATACCCAGCTGTTGACAAGAACGTCTGAGCAACAGTTGGGGAAGGGAGGGGGATAAACATGGGGAAATAGTTTTACTTTGTGTAATGACCCATTCACTCCCAGTCCTTATTCAAGTCTAAGTTAATTGTATCCAGTTTGCAAATTAATTCCAATTCAGCAGTCTCTCACTGAAGTCTGTTTTTGAAGAATTGCAACTTTTAGGTCTGTAATCGAGTGACCAAAGAGATTGAAGTGTTCTCCGAGTGGTTTTTGAATGTTATAATTCTTGACGTCTGATTTGTGCCCATTTATTCTTTTATGTAGAGACTGTCCAGTTTGACCAATGTACATGGCAGAGGGGCATTGCTGGCACATGATGGCATATATCACATTGGTGGATGTGCAGGTGAACGAGCCACTGATAGTGTGGCTGATGTGATTAGGCCCTATGATGGTGTCCCCTGAATAGATATGTGGGCACAGTTGGCAATGGGCTTTGTTGCAAGGATAGGTTCCTGGGTTAGTGGTTCTGTTGTGTGGTTGCTGGTGAGTATTTGCTTCGGGGGGGGAGGGGGGCTGTCTGTAAGAAAGGACTGGCCTGTCTCCCAAGATCTGTGAGAGTGATGGGTTGTTCTTCAGGATAGGTTGTAGATCCTTGATGATGCGTTGGAGAGCTTTTAGTTGGGGGATGAAGGTGATGGCTAGTGATGTTCTGTTATTTTCTTTGTTGGGCCTGTCCTATAGTAGGTAACTTCTGGGTACTCTTCTGGCTCTGTCAATGTGTTTCTTCACTTCAGCAGGTGGGTACTGTAGTTTTAAGAATGCTTGATAGAGATCTTGTAGGTGTTTGTCTCTGTTTGAGGGGTTCGAGCAAATGCGGTTGTATCGTGGAGCTTGGTTGCAGACAATGGATCGTGTGGTGTGGTCTGGTCTGGATGAAAGCTGGAGGCATGTAGGTAGGAATAGCGGTCAGTAGGTTTCCGGTATTGGGTGGTGTTTATGTGACCATCACTTATTAGCACCATAGTGTCCAGGAAGTGGATGTCTTGTGTGGACTGGTCCAGGCTGAGGTTGATCGTGGGATGGAAATTGTTGAAATCATGGTGGAATTCCTCAAGGGCTTCTTTTCCATGGGTCCAGATGATGAAGATATCATCAATGTAGCGCAAATAGAGTAGGGGACGAAAGCTGAGGAAGCGTTGTTCTAAGTCAGTCATAAAAATGTTGGCATACTGTGGGGCCATGTGGGTACTCATAGCAGTGCCGCTGATTTGAAGGTATACATTGTCCCCAAATATGAAATAGTTATGGGTGAGGACAAAGTCACAAAGTTCTGCCACCAGGTTTGCCGTGACATTATTGGGGATACTGTTCCTGGTGGCTTGTAGTCCATCTTTGTGTGGAATGTTGGTGTAGAGGGTTTTTACATCCAAATTGACCTTGGGGTGGTCATCTGCACAGGGGTGGATTTTACTCAAAAAGTACAAGTAAGCCTTTATTAATAGAAATATGTCTTCATGCTGACTTGTTCATCCACCTACGAGTTGGGATCCCCAAAGCAGGCCTGAGGCACATTGGAGGAACATCATGGCAAAGTGCTGTAACTTACCTTTGGCTTCAGGACTTCAGGTTCCTGTGTTGTCATTCTGGAAACTTTCATAGGAGCCAGTTCCAAAGTCAGTGGAAAAAATCCCCTTGATTTCAGTGGGCTTTGGATGAGGTGCATGAGCAATAACTTCACTCATATCTTAAGGGGGATTTGAAGATTTAGGTCCATTCTTATTCTGGACCTAAATCTTTGACAAGGCTTTTTATTAATGTTACAAAGAATAAATACATTCAGTTATACAGCAAAGTTTGAATAAATATACTGGAGAAGAAAATGGCAATATTTAAATGAAAGATTGCTGTAGGAATCTGAACAAACTGCTAGAGAAGACAGAGTGAAATTTAAGTGCTCACAGGAAAAATTTACTTGGCTAAAGTGACTTCTAACAATGGTAAGGTGACAAAAATATCCTGGTGAAGAGTGTAAGTACTTAGACAGTGAAAATTTCCACTCTCTTTATTTTCTCTTACACCTTAGCTTGCCAGAATATTACTGTGGGATATTTACAAGGTTTTAATTTACCCCTTCGTATTCAGAGAGTTAAAATAGATCTCTACAGCACTTTTTTAGTATGCAGAGCGAAGAGTGATCCTATTAAGTTAAAACCTTAAAAATGAAAAAAAAAAACCCCACC